TGACATAGAAACCTTACTGTGCTTAATACACGGCTTAGTGGCAGGGCTTGGTTCCGTTGGCAAGTGCACTTGGAACATAGCCATGGGTTCTAGCTTTAAAAGACTTTAGAGATTTAAATATTAATGCCTTCCTTTTCAATTTCTTCCATTTATGATTTTGGTTATATAAAAATACTGTTCTTTGTCATACTTTCTTGTTCGTATGCACAAATTCTCATGATACAGCTAAGCTAATACACATGTTTACATATAATAAAACACCGTAATAGGTTAAATGTGGTTATGAATTTCATCACAAAAATATTTAATTTCTTATAATGTAATGTACTCAAACTGATTTGTAATACAGGTTGTGAGTGAAATAACTACAACAAATACCTATATTGATGATCAAAAAATCTATACTAATAAATAAAATTGAATTATCCATTTGTAATTTCAAAATTGTCGGGTTTTTTATGCTCACACAGTTATTTACATGATACCTATGCCTAAAAATAAGTTTAAATATTTTTTGTCTGTCTGTCTGTTTGTTCCGGGTAATCTTCAAAACGGCTGTACTAATTTTATTAATATTTTACTAACATGTCGCTGTCTATATAAGGAGAAACTTAGTTTAAAACCCTATAAAATTAGCCCGTTCCGGAAACCGAACCAGAGGCCTCATGGACTGCGTCCGCGTACCGTACTACGCCACTAAGATAGCACCAAGAACGAACTCGCCAGTACCAACTAGTAATATAATAAAGTGGTTTTAGTACTTTTACACTTACAAAAGTTTTCAATATAGTGAAGATAGATTTCAGTTAAATGTAGGGTTAAATTTATTGATATTACCGTTTCGAAGTATCGGCAAACCATAATTATTTTTTTCTTAACCTGTTTAAACCTTCTCTACACAGCGAGGTCTATAGGCAATAATACTACGGCAATAAGACCGATAATATTACGAGTATTGTAGGTATAACTCTAAATACCCTGCCACATCTAAAACTACAGGCGGCTTAAAATACTGGATAATACGACGGTATTGGGTTCTATTTCCCGAGCCTAATGTGGGTCATTTCCTTTATCTTCGCATATCCGTTAACTTTTAAAATCTTCAACTTCCTAAGATTAACGCTTTCACATACAAACTCTTACATTTCAAATTATCTTTATGTTTTCAAAACAAGACAAGCTGTATAACTCAATAAATGACTATCAAATAAATTAACAGCAACCAATCAGCTTATTTCAACACAAAGGCATAAACATTGAATACGACAAGCGGACTTTATTGTACATTACATAATTGTTCAATAAGTAGTAATAGCGGTCATTAGGAACGATCACATCAAAGTGTCTGTTATCGCACTGCGCATAAATATGGCCGGGGTTACGAGGTGAACACACTTCCAGAGTGGACAAGTTCAATCTGATCACAACGGAATTGGTAGACTAGTTGTAGACAGCGGTATATATTGTGATTTATTTTTCAGTACATTTTCCATAAGCTGCGGTGCTGCCATCGCTAATCTAGGTGCCCTAAAACCTATGTGTTAATAATATATGATGTATGTCAGTTTGAATGAATTTAATTTGTTTTTGTATAGTAAATATGATGCCTCGGTGGTACAGTAGTAGCGTATGCGATTGATGTCCGAAAATAATTAAATAATTATCTCTACACTAAAATTTATTCAACTTAACATTTCCTGCTACACGGACCTTACTAGCACATAGAACATGAACATACGGCAAAATACTTTGCTGGCCCCTTTTATTTCAAAAAAGTCTAACGCTAAGAAAAGCTATACAAAATCTAAAAATAAGTTTAGAAATAGTACCTTTAGTAGGTATATATTTATGCCATTGTTAATATTTGGTCTTTAAAATACAAAGAAAGTTAAAAGAATCACATTTTTTAAATGTTTAATTATGATAAAAGGCTTCGGCTGACTATATAAAGTTATTACGATCCTTGATAGGGCTAAAGGCTATTCAGTATTTATATTCCAGCTTGTAGAGATTGCCGTGTTTTGTAATAAAGCGTTATAAGGTGTGCTTTTGAACACTCCTAATGACGAAAATCGCAAAACCGGCATGCAAAAGCCATTAGTAGGCACGGCTTACGTATAGTTTGGCGCCAACTTGCAGCTATGCAGTCAACTCGTAGTTTCTAGCCCGCATTGTAACAGAATACTGAGTCAACACGATTGACACTTGAATAGATAATACATATCGTACTAGAATATTACGCTTGTAACGGTCCACGGGAAGAACAGGTGTTGAATATACGATTTAATACATGTTTTTTAATTAAATTCTGGTGGATAATAACTTCGCACTCTAACGTTGTGATGAGATACCTTATTAATACAAAAATTTCACAAGAAGATCTGCAATGTATTGGTGTACTCAGTGCATTCACAGATCTTAATTTCTAAATAATTATAAAAATTGTGCCATACGGTGTTACGCATGATGCTCCATGGTTCATAACCAACGAACAATTGCAAAAAGAACTGAAAGAACAATCAAGAAGTAATAATTTTACGAACAAGATATTAAAAAGTCAGGATATTAAATGACCCAAACATTGATGCAAGGATTGATCGATAACAGAACGTAACGGTGACTAATTGATCACGTTATACATGTACTCGTAAGTCAATCAGTGAGTCAGTGGTCAGAACACCCAGACAACATAGAAAAATTTACTTGATATGAAACTAAATGTATGATATTTATAGTATACATAGTATAGTAACATATGTTCATTAAATCCATAAAAGAAAATATCTAGATAATGTATATTCACCCAGAAGAGATAGGATCATCGACATGATGCCAACAATTTTTTTTGGTTTCGCGTAATATTGCGCGTTTCTAACAATTGATTTGTGTCGCATTGAGTTTACATTGAAACATAAGAAATTGTATCATAGTTTATTATTTATTCAGTCCTTTACATCCATATCTTAATCACTTCTCTATATCCATTACGCGATTTGTATAAGTCAGCGCTAAAGTCACTGCACTGCGTTAGTCAGGAGAATCAATTCTAGACGGTGACTCAAAACATCTTTATAAGGGATATATTTGTATACTATCAAAGGGATTTTGAAAACAGCAAAAATTATCAAAACAGTCAAAAATTAAAACACTTGTTAGAGTTCTCTTAAAATATATGTTCTTTGATGATCAGTCTTTCTTAGAGTGCCACAAGGCTAAAACATACTTTTCCTTTTTTTTGTCTAGTCGAAATGTAGCATTGCCTAAAATTACATTCTCTAACAACTTTTAAGTATTTTTATTAAGGAATCGACAAAACTGTTAAATTAGAAGTACCTATATGAGCAAGGACACAATTTTCTTAAAAAGTCTTTGCTTCACAATAAAGGCCAAGTCAATCAGATTTAGACCCTTAAACTTTCTACGAAATAGCATTGTCAAAGAGAAATTGCTGTAAATGTAACAGGTATTTACGTAGCTGTTGATCGTTTTCTACACTATTAAGGTACAAAGTGTAGCGTACGCCGGTGTAACAGATTGCCTACTGATTTCCAATTTCTAATATATATTTTCAATATATGATTCACAATTCCTATAGAATAATTTATTTTGTCATTCAGATCACATACGGTTAAAGGTTGACTTAATTGATTTAAGTACTACAGTACTGATCGCAAAAGATTGTCAACAATCTCATAGATATTTTTTATTTTACACAACTTCAAAAATGGGCTAAACTTTTACAAGTAAGTATTAGCCCAGATGAATGGTTACCGTTACACAATGCACTTGCTCAAGACCAAAGATCGTACGTAGGAGAGAACAAATAAATAAATACATGCCGAAGTTGCGTCAAGGTGGCCAAAAGTCCGCGAATGTGTACAAATACCCCGTGTACACGTTGGCGCTATCTTGAATTGGCCCGAGTTGGGCCACTGTGTACTGGTCCCTTAACATGGTACGTTTGCCTTTACAAAGACAGCTTAGGTTGTACTGGCCAATAAAATACACAGAAAATAAATAATGAATTATGGTCGAAATTCTATCACCGTCTCTTCTTATGCATTATATCTAAATCATGACTGCCCATGCTCATTTCAATTTTTCACAAATGCAAATTTCTATGTGGGTTTGCCACATTGAAATCTTTGTGATTTGCATACTTTTTCAGAATACTGAGTATTTTGTCTATCGCCGATTCTATAAAAATCTATCTAGCTGTAGTATATAATATACAATGACCATGTGCACAGCTAACCGCAACATTACGATGCAAAGAATGAAGTGTAATAATTCTGCCGAAGCAGAACAAGTGTTTTATTACCATTGATTCCGAGCCAATGCTCTGACTAGTCTGTAATAATAATACTGGTAACATTAGCTGACAGTTGGAACAAATGTTGGTGTTTATGTTGAATGGGCATCCCTATTTGAAAAAAAAACGATTTTCAAATATTTGAACATTAAAAGATTGAAAAAAAAATGTCTTTCTTTCTTAAAAAAAGGTTGTATGTATAATCAAGGCCTACGTTGCACAATGACAACCGTTGCCCAATTAATTATGTGAGGAAACTTTACTATAGTCTGCAGACTTGACCAGAAATGCTACAGACGAATTCAGTAGCTGTAAAAAAAACAAGAATACTATTTATACGTCCATGACACAGCATGACATCCTGATAACATATCACATGTGTAAATCGGGATCTTTTTCGCGATAAAATTAATAAGGTACGATAATATCCTCTTTGCTTTTCCGAAGGACAGAAGTGAAATACAAATTGCACCGATGTGTGTCTTCTGTCGACACGTTCGGTCGATCAGTGCAATTAATGTTATCGTGATTATTCCCGATATACACAAGTAATATATACAATAGGACCACTTCTCCTGGAGTCGTGCTTAAGACTAAAGAGAGAAATCGCCTTTCCTTCGCAATCTTGAACATCAAGCTTTTTGTTTGAAGAACGCTGCATTATTCTCGGACAGTAATTACATTAATCATGAACAGAACGCACTCAAATGTAATACTAATATGCAGACTTTCCGATGCAAATGTTCATAAGGACTTTTGTTTGAATTCTGGCGTAAGTTCAAGTATTAGACCAACTGTTGGAGCCAACTGCTCAAGCTTGGCTAACACATTCCAATGGTAATTTCTAGTATAAGGTGTTCGTTCCACGTCAATTGACGGCATGCACCCATGGCACTTTTGGCCTACATATTGCTAATTCATGTTTTCAAGGCTTACTGGAAGACCTACGCGAATAAGTTGTATTAAAATGTTTCGAATACATTTGTTGCATGAAATGTAAATTTAACGATTGCCAAATAGGTGTCTTTAAAACAAATTTATTCACGTATAACTTAGTGTACAAATACTTGGGCTTTAAATTCCTAATGTTTTAATTACAACTGCATTAAAATTTACTTAAAATATAAATTATTAGATGTGAAAATTGGGCCATTGAACCCAGTTCGTGAGAATACTATGGATTGTCGAATAGTGCAATAGATGGCTCAATTAAAAGGGAACATTTAAATTATTAACAACTCTCGCAATAAGGGAATAAATAACAATTTCAAACGTTAATCTATACGTTTGTACCTTTTATTAGGTAATGTAATACGCTTGATTGCTACGCACGAGTGCACTTTTTACATTTAATGCTATAGCTTATTTCTTAAAAAAGCTTTATTCATAGTTGATAATGACTTCGAATTAAAACCGAAAGTTGCAGTTACTATCTAGGTAAATACTTAAACTTCTTTTTAATGAACTTGTTTTTTTTTATATCACACATCAAGATGAATTGCTAAGTTAAGATACGAGTTAAAAATGTAAAAGAAGATAGAAGTTTGCAAAAGTACTCAAGCATACCTTGCACTCTGTCTAAAGAACTGATAGAAGTCATAAATTATACATAGCTTAAGAATAAGAATTGTTTGACAATGGGTCAGACAAAAATGTTGGCATTAAAAAACAACACTCGACAGTTGCTTTTCTGCATAAAAAGTAACGACCAGTTAAGCTTAGGTTCACTAAAATTAAAAAAAAATAGTGGCACTCCGTTAGTGTCGACAGGTAAAGAAGTTTTCACTTCAAAAATAATTGTTTAGTTTAGAATCACATTAATGTCGTTACTGATTGGATTGTAGTATTCAAAGGCGGTTTAGAATTATACTTCAAATTTAGAATGCAATTATGCTCTACCTTAAGTCTCTGGATGATTTTTTTTTATTTACAAGTATTAAATGACAAAATATTTTTCGGTAGTGATAAATAATTGTATGTTCAAATTTAAAAACCTTTCAAAATTTTCCACACAAATTAACTATCAATAAAAAAAATACAACTAAGTAAGCTGGATAATTGCACAAAAACAATAACTGTATTACTTATGATTTATTTAACATACGTAATTAAGGAACTCTGCGTTTGCGCACTCAAAGTCAATGACAGTTTGACAGCACACCGAATATGGTACAACAGTCACTGTCAACCGCTCTCCGGCTTTAGGGTTGTCAGAAACAAAAATAAATCATTAAAAGCATTTAGCTGTCCGTATGACAAGATGGATGACATAAAAGAAGAGTAGTATTTCAGTTATTCAATGTTTATGTCAAGCATCAGGAATATCAGTACTAAGTTCATTTGTGTTTGTTAGGTATTTAGTTTTAAGAAGTTATTATTCAAAAGAGTGCCAATGATTATTGTAATAATTTTTACGAAGTGTATTTTGTAATAGATATAATTGTAGAAATCACTAAGGTGTCATAAGCTTATCAGATTTCGTTATAGGGCTTTCTAAAAGCTGGTTATTATTGTTTTGAAACATTATATGACTTCTAGTAAATATCTATACATACTTTTATATCATCCATAGTTTTTTCGTCAATGAGACAGCCCTGCTTCCATGCTATAACTAACAAATGAATCGCTAATCGTAGTTATACCTACCAATTGTTATTCTATATGACACACCGTACACATAATAAAATATTTCTAATGGATTATAATAGCTATAAGAACAATAGCTTATAACTCATACCAATTTTTAATCTTTTACCCATCACTCTCGTTATAATCGGCAATTATTTTCAAGGGACCCATGCACAGCACTTAGTTCAAACTACCGTTAGTAAGATTGTAGTATCCATTTCCAATTGACACTTCTACAACACCAATTAGAGGGCTAATTCTGACCTTGTTGGGTAGGACCTTGGTTGGAAACCTAAATCGTATAAGCCTATGAACTCAAGCACTATTTCAGCATGATTTTCGCATCCTCTTCCAAATAAGTTTAATCATTTTTAAGTCACGTATAATATAGAAATATGGATTACTTGTAAGGCGTGACTGTACTCCACAGCTTTTAACAATGAGCAAATCTTCTGTTATATTTAGTGTTGCAAAGTGAATCGCCGACTTCCTTTGAATGTTAAGGTGGTAAATAGTATGTGCTGTAGAATTTGTTATAAGGATATCATCAATCAATAGACAGTTAGGTACAGTTTGAAACAACAAACTCCTGATTGTGTCCCGTTTACGACTTTTGGGGTAATATAAAATGGGGTAATGGGGTAAAATAATGTAAAAAGTAAAATCTGTTAAACGATTTTATATGCTAAGATAAGCTGTTTGTATAGCGAGTCGAAATTTGAACTCAATCGGTGCAAAACTTTTTGAGTTTAGAAGCGTACACAAACCAATTTAACACATTTGAAGTTTTCAGTACTTCGTCACCTATCTGTTTGATTATACCCTTGCGGTTCAATAAACACCAAATTTTACATTGAGTGTTATTGCTCCGCTATTTCATCATAATCAAAGTGATATAAGTTTGCAGTTACCGAACATGATTAAACAACAAACAAATTGTTTTATGACTTGTCCAGCGTTAGTTTAAACTCTCGTTCATTCATGTTAACAGCAGAATTAACTTTGTAACCGTTAAACTAGGTTTACGATAGACCGCGAATAATCTATTAGTTCTAGTGCCACCCACCCAATCGCTAGTATAAAGCTAAGAATATCTTTATAGTTTAGGTGAAAGAGACACAAAATGGTTTTTAGTACTAGTATTTTAGTTATAGGTATTCAATGAGATTCCAACTTTCTTGCTTGATATAATCTTTATCATGCAACTTGGTTCAAGATGTAATAATCATAATAATTTAATGAAAACCTTGGTTGAAAGAAGAAGAAAGAGAAAGAAAACTTGAAACAAACTCTATACCAACTCAAACCCTATTCGTGTGGCCAGAGTGGTATAGGAGGCCCGAACCTCCTTTCTAAGGAGAGACCTATGTCAATCAGTGGACAACTACGAGGCATGCCTTTTAAGTTTTGTCGTTTGAAAAAAAAAATACAACTAGAACCTCATAGTACTTTTTATTATTTTTCAAAGTATTCACCACGTATGATGATGGTGAAAACCTTGTTACATTTTCACAATAATTTAAAGATTATGGCTACAGTGTGGTATAAACTGCTACGTAGCCGATAACATCTACATCCTACTCTTGTAGTATATAACTAGGGATCGTTACCCCTTTTTAACTATAAGTCATGTATATCTTGTCTTAAAACACTTGTCGATGTTGCTTTTGTAACCGAATTGTCAAATATTTCTTTTTTTATATGTTATTATTGGCTTTACATCTAGCTAATAAAATTTGTAAAGAAAACTTTAACTTAATGTTAATCGAAATGAAACCATGATCATATGTAGTTTAGATAACAATACTAATAATATAATGTAGCATCTTATAGGTGATATGATGATGGAGTCAAGAGGCGAATAGTGGAACTTTTAATTCTTCGAGTTTGCGCTGACTTGATTCGAAAACAGCAGATTGGACCTATAGTAATGACGAATGATCTTATAGCGAAGTCAGGAAGTGGATTGTTGAAGTCTTTTTTGTTTTCAATTCCCCTTTAAAGCGTGTTTTTTTAATATTACTATAATTATTATGTAATTGGTATTTTTGCCTGGCTTCGTCACAAGGACATCAACATTGATAAAAAAATCAGTGGCATTTTTTGACAGTTTTTGACGGTTTCGCGTGACAGTAGTTTTTTTTAGTGATAATTTCATTGGAAGTTTAATTCCTCTTTTTTTGTTGGTATAATACTAATATTGTGTGGTGTTTGTTACAGACAACACCGGAGCCACGCGCTCCCGTCCCTGAGATGCAGGCACGACATGGCTACTGGTGGCACCTTCTCATCGACCTTCCCATACTACTGTTGGGTAAGTTGTTACTTAATCTGTCGTAGTTAATATGTATTTATTACAATTAGTAAACAACCTTTTGTAGGTTTGATTCCTCAAAAAGAAAATTGATCCTCAAACAACGTGTAACAATAATCCGAAAAACTTCGACTCCTTGTAAAAAGTTTCACACTTGTCTGATTTTTGTCACGAATTTGACACGAATGTCAAAAATAGTCATTTCCAATCTGTAATTCAGTTTATCTGTTTAATTTATTTGGTAAACGCTAATCTAACGATCATTTTCATACAGCGATAAATTCTCCCACAGTTGTTTGTCATAAATATGTATTATCGAAATGCAATGTCCTCACCCATGAAATAATGTCCGCGGTGTCGTCTTTCTAAGTTATCAGCCTAAAAGCTAACTCATGTATGTACCTATCTCGTTTTCTGAGGGTGAACAAGATTTATGATATTTACAATTGTTATTTTTAATTAAACTTGTATACACTAGTGGAAGTGTAAACGGAGTTAGTACTGAATTACCTCATTTGAACCATGGTAAGAATTACACAATCACCGCAATCACCGGCTCCAACCAGTTTTATTTCTTGTTTCTCAACTTAGGCACGATGTAAATACAATAAAAAACAATCATTTAACCCAAGTCATGCTTCATTGAGTGCAATCAGAATGCATCAGTTGCGGACCATTAGATCTCTTAATTTTAGGTATGATTTCAATACTCAAAACAAATACTTGTATGAACACACATAAGTAAACATTGTAAACTAACTGAATAGCAAATTCGGCTGCGTTTCTTAAAAGGAATAAAAACCGTGTGGTGTCGTGGGACACCCGATAGGAACGAAGTTGTTACGATCGAGTAAAACTGATTAGACACGATTTTAATTACAACGCCATCTATGAAAGCGGCTATTACCTACATATTTTTCAGTTGGTTTCTAATTAAAACAATTTATACATTGGTAAAATCTCCTTGAGAAATGATGTCGAATACAATATTTTTTGCTCAACCTAAGAACATAATTTTTAATTTTACTATTCGATAGATGGCGCTGAATGACTGACAAGTGACAATTCAAAATAAAAAAGTGTCGTGATCAATTTTCGTAAGAATTTTTTCCGTCTAGCCCCCTTTCACAACGCGCGATAAGGAACTTCGTTCCAAAAATTCTTCCCGTTTTTTTCTGCAATATTATTCATTGATGCTCGGTTCCTATTCGTAATAGCGTGATACTATATAGCCTAAAGCCTTCCTCTATAAATAGGCTAGCCAACACTAAAATCATTTTTCAGTAGTGCCTGAGATTAGCGTGTTCAACCAAACAAATACTGTAGAATTCCCAGGGCCACCATTGCGTTTGCGATGCGATAGAATATCAGTATCGAACCAACTATTATAATGGTCACACTGTGCCTGGAACAGGAACTCTGGAGGAGTCTGGCAAAAGTCTTACACATTTTTCTAGCCTTTACAGGAACATCAAAACTACGCCTATATTCTGGCAGTTTAAAGGCTTCTGTGATGCCATGGTGTCTTAATTTACGAGGCTCATTTAATACTAATGATTTCTCGTGATTGTACCACATAAATATAGTTAACTCGTTTATCGTTGAAATATTTGTTGGTATTGTTCGGTGATTTTCCTTTTTGGTATATCTAAGGTTTTAAGGCGCCTGTGGTGTCTCAAATTGGACAAGGTTCGTAAAACAAAACGGTATTCATGACCAATATCTGCATAATATGTAAATGCGTAAAATACTGTGTTTCTGAAGGTGCAAGTAAAAGTTATCTTGAAAATATATATGCGTACTGTCACTTTCTTATTGTTTGTTGTGTGTTATGTAAATAAGTTTGTTTTCAGTCAATATACATGTTTTACAATTGAAACAAAATTCACATACACACATACTCTCACTCGTAAATGCACCCAAAGGGAAAGGTTAAACGTCCACATCCATTATATACCAGTATATCTATAAAAATAAATCGCCGAAATGCATGTACGCGCATAACTTCCGAAAAACTGCACCAAATTTAATAATTCTTTTTTTTTTGTGTTTGTTCTTGTCAGGGCAAGGTTTGTACAAAAGATAATTTTAACAGTTTTTTTTTAATCTGATAATATGAAAAGTGAGTGAGTGAATGAAACAGAAAAATGTGAGATGTCTATACTAATATTATAAAGAGGTAAAGTTTATGAGTTTGTGTGTTCATGGTAATCTCAGGGACTACAAGTTCGAATAAAATTGTTTTAGTGTTGGATAGCCCTTTTACCGAAGAAGGATAGCCATATAACATCATGCTAGGACTCATTGGAGCCGAGTATCAAGCAAAAATGTTGCGAAATCGAGAAAAAATATTCCTTTTTAGAGAATCAGACGACATTGCGCGGGTCAGCTAGTTTTAGTATTATTTTAATCCCACTTACGTAGTGTAAGTACTGGTCAACTCTAATGCCGTCAACTGGATACTTTGGGGGTAGATAGACAAAGTAGGACCATATTGAAAGAACATTTGGAGTCAAGCTACGGCACAAATCAGCCGGCTCGACTGAAGTCCACGGCCTCACAGAAAACAGGTGTAAAACAATTCATTCGTTGCTTTTCACCGAGTGAGTAAGGTTACCGGAACTCAAACCCCTCCTCTCCCTTAATCTAAGTGACTTAAGTTGCAGGTGTCCATGTGTGGGGATAGGATGGCAGCCTGATTGCATTAAGACGCAATTGGGCCGCCACGCCGCTATTAAGTGCGGGAAGTATTTTCCCCTGGGATAGTAGTCCATGGTGTCAATTGGGGGAGGACCTGAAATACCATGGTCCGGATCCTCTCAGAGTAGGGCCTAAGGAAGGCCAGGTTGGCTTTTAGTGGAATCATCACATACTTTCCCACCACGTCAACAAAAAAAAAGGTGGCCATGTGTGGCGGTAGTTACTAGTCTACTCCAATAGCAGTCAAACCCGTGGCAAGCCCACGTGGCAACCACCAAGCAGAGAATAAGGAGTAATATTGTTCTGTGGTTTAAAGGATCTACACGAATTAAAGTTTCCTTTGTATAAACCACTTGCATGTCCGTCACTTATATTCTAAAGCAACGACTTTAAAAATGTTGTGATAACACATTATCTCAAACACATTAGCCCACCATGAGTGACAACAGAAACCATTAAGTGAATTTATGGTTCTGTCTGGAGATTTATGGTCTTAAGGATACAAAGTTAACGGTTGCTAGCGCCGCCTATTGACGATTTTCCGAAGTTTTATTATGCTCTACGTTTTTAATAGTTGATGGACTGGATTTTCGTATCCGTACCTGTGATCTGAAAGAGAACAAAGAATGAAATCCGTGTCCTTTATCTTAAACGGATCTTGTATTTTATTGTTTGTGAACTAAAAAAAAATAATTAAATGTCAAATGCTGTGAGGCAATAATTTTATTTACAATTAGTTATAACAGACAATTATTTGACCACGATGTCAACCCCCAAATATTTGTGATATATACAGTAAATTAATTATTGAAAAATACGCCCTATACAAGCCGAAACATGACGTATTATTTACATTGATGTCGTTCTAAAGTAATTGATCGTAATGTCATTAATTAAGAATAAAACTGATGTTATAAATAATATGTATTCATTCAAATCTGTATCCGCGAAAATATATTTATAACGTATACGGCACATCACTAGTTTTTAAACAAACATGTACTTCTGTACTGTAAAATTTATTTAAAAATTCATTATCAAATCAAATAGGTTAGATTTTATAAGGTAAAAAAAGCTTAATTCAATCCGTCTAAAACCATTTATTAATAAACTCGTATTAGAGAAAACGATATACATTTGACCAAGTTTTATAGTTCTTTAGAAACTTTATCGAATATATTGTTAAAAGCTGGAAAGAAAGCAAGTAAAATGCCTTGAAAATGTAATTACTCACTAGCTACTAAAAAGAAAACCAGGCATATAGGGCCTACTCCTATAGTACGTACCTACTTTGGTGCGGTGTCCCTACTCGTCAATGAAAATACAACAAAATTCATTGTTTTTTTCTGTATTTGGAAGTGCTTTATACAGACATAGACAACTGCAGTTGCGTTTAACCGACTTTAAAAAGGAATAAATCATATGTGCGTTATAATATCTTCGCCATTTGTGGATCAATTTAAATGGAATTATTTACCACATCCATGAAAAGTGAAATGTATCGTTTAAAATAATACCGATCCCTGCTACTTTACCTCGCCACAATAATATACAGTGCACTGGGCAATTCAAGTGCCCACGCCTCTAATGTCAGACTTCTCGTAGCTCTCAACTTTCATACTTCAAGTATTTATTTCGATTTATACAACACAGTTCTCACGAACGGTCAGATGGATTAACGGGTCAACTTGTGAGAACCTTGTCGTCTAGTTTTTGTATCGCAGCCTATAAACGTAATTGCAATAATTATTGTACTTTGTGATAGTTAATGATCGCGCACGGAGGAATGACGTTCGCTTTATAACGGAGACATGTCTTTTTACTACTGTCTGTGTGTTAATAAAATATCTAAGTAATTAAACATTTAATTAAGTATGAATCCATTTCACTTAAGAAGCATTGATTTTAATAACTTTTTAAACAGATTTCTAAGCCAGCCTACAAGAGGTGTTTGCTTACCCTAAGATGTAGCTTAAAAATCATTCTCGCGTCATCTCTTTTATCCATTTTTTCTGTCGCAGATCCGTTTTTGTCTGTGGAAGAAGTGTTCTCTTTTTCCTATGTTTCACTCAGCCTGTTCCTCCCCGATTAGATTGATGTAAAAATCCAGTGACGTGCGTCTATGTAGTTTTTTCGGAGACAATGAAAACGCTCATACACAGACCCTGACCTCCGTACGGAAGAGCTGTAGCTCTAACTGGTAACTGACAGAAACAGTGGCACCATATCACTGGGTTAGAAAACATGTAATGCCCGTACTGTAATCTTAGAAGTTCGTGCTTGTCAGTTAAATAGGGTTG